AAATAAGGTATTTATTGCCATAATTACATCTGATTAAATATGATAAAGATTAAAGTAATTAACCAAAGAGTTACAGCTGAAGTGCAAAAAGGTCAACTTAATTGTACCATAGCTCAGTAAGATGCACACTGACACCCCATTTTCTTTGCAATTTTGAGTCATGCTATATGTGTACTTATCTAAAATATACTTCTCAAAAAATCCTTGATATAACAAATTTCACGAGTGACATACCTTAAATTCTTAAAGTTAATAAACAACGATAAAACACAAAGAAATCCCATTTTTGAGTGTAATTAGCTTTAAATCAGCAAAATAAATAAACCGGGCTTACTACCGAATTTAGTCACCAGGAAAATGACAATCGTTAATAATAATTGAAATACATAATATTTGGTGTTAAATACGAAAGCCTATTAGGATCAAACTACGGTAAAAAAAATTTAAAGGCGTTATAACGCGAAAAAAGGCGTAATAACGCCTTTTGAAAAGGCGTTATAACGCGAAAAAAAGGCGTTATTACGCCTTTCCTAAAGGCGTTATAACGCCTTTCCAAAAGGCGTTATTACGCCTTTTTAAAAGGCATTAATACGCCTTTCAAAGAGGCGTAATTATGCCTTTTGAAGAGCCATTATTATGTCTTTGACAGGCCCGTGCTTTTTAAGTGGGGGGGGGCCCATAAAATTGACAAGTAAACAAAAAAAACAAGACCCCCCCCCCGGAAAAAAAATAAACTGCCTAAACTTGAGGGGAAACTTTTTCTAATTTTTCGGTAAAAACTTTTTTTAAATGCAATGACTTGCCCGAGTTTAACCATACTGCAACAAAATGTTAAGGGACCAAGCAATCAATTATAATGATTTTTTATATTTAAACTGTAACAAGACTATTCTTCCAAAAAGTGGGGTGGGGACCCCCCACCCCCCCAACTCACATTCGTACTACCGGCCTGTTTGAAAAGGAGTTGTATCTAAAAATGGAAAGGCGTTATTTTAAATAGTAAATATATGAAAGATTGAACCAAAGCCATCTTTATTTATGCAATATTTAGATTATAGTTTTAATATTTAAAATTATGTTATAAATTATAGTATTTTCTATATTCCTGCACACCTCGCAGAGAGTTGTTTGCATTTTGCATGCATATTAAGAGAAGTCAACACTCTACTTTTGAAAATCCAGGATATAGGCAGAACCAGCTTTGGGCTTTGCTAGCCACGTATTAAAAATTCATGTCAAATTTGAAATATTTTTCTCTCCTCTTGGTAAAAAACAGGCAAAGTATTTGCATAGGTATAATGAGCAAGTAGCCTTCAACAAAATTTCTGAAATCCATACACCTTGGTAGAAGCGTCTGGTATCAGAGAAGGACTAAGTTGGTTTAACACTGAAAATATTTTACACATTTAAAAATCTTTATTCCTAGAAATCTAATTATAATCAGCCCCCAGGGTGGGCTAAGTAAGTCATGTATTGAAAAAAAAGAGGCGTAATAACGCCTTTTTAAAAAGGGGAAATAACGCCATTTTAAAGGCCCAATAACGCCTTTTGGAAAGGCGTAATAAAACCTTTTGGAAAGGCGTAATAACAACTTTTGGAAAGGCGTAATAACGCCTTTTAGAAAGGCGTAATAACGCCTTTTGGAAAGGCGTAATAACGCCTTTTTAAAAGGCGTAATAACGCCTTTTTCCGCGTTATAACGCCTTTTGGAAAGGCGTAATTACCCTTTATTTGCGTTATTACGCCTTTTTCCGCGTTATAACGCCTTTTCAAAATGCGTAATTACGCCTTTATTTGCGTTATTGCGCCTTTTTCCGCGTTATAACGCCTTTTCAAAAGGCGTTATTACGCTTTTTTTCGCGTTATAACGCCTTTTGAAAAGGCGTTATAACGCCTTTTAATTATTTTTTTTACCGTAGTTTGATCCTAATAGGCTTTCGTAGTTAAAACTCTCAGCGAAGACACATTTTGTTGTATTAAATTACATCTGTAAGTTTCGTGATGAAGAATTCAGTATTTTTTCAGTAATTAGCGAAAACCCGGTTTTCAGTTTCAAAATTCCCGGCCCGGCCCGGGTTTTACTACCCATTTTAGTCACACTCTTATTAGATAATATGGATATAATTTGATCAAATAAAGAGTCCTTCAAAGGTAAGTCACATTTATTTTATTTTAATCGATCTCGTTAAGATTATTTTATCACGTACTATGCTAATACCATCGAAATAGGTTCCTCGAGGATACGTGTGTCAGTTTCATTTTTTTCAGTAAAATATAACAAACTGGCGACTATAGTTTCATTTCTTTTTTAAATTCTGCGGTTGAAAACATTATAAATACATGAACCCCCCCCCTCCCGTAAGGTTTTTGAGTTAGGTCTTAGCCCCTCCACCCCCCCCCCCCTTTTCCTACATCACCATCGGAACATCACTCGGTCTTTTCCGTCAAGTCGAGAAAAAAATCTTCGACTTGACGGAAAATGCCGAGTAATGTTCCGATGTACAACTTACTCACTAGATGGCGATAGTTGTCCTGCCCGTCCCACTTTTTAATCCAATGAAATCTCAGTATTAAAGTAACCTTTCCCGAAGTCAAGGACATAGAATTTTGGAAAGAACAAAATTAAGCGTTTTACCCGTTCAAAGTGAGTATATTATGATAAATTGTTGTTTTTTTTCTCACGAATATTTGATAGAACGAGTTTTTAACAGGTTTTTGTAATGTAAATCAACTTAAATTTTGTGTTTTTGCATGAAACATGAACGATGAATAAGTTGTTTACGTCACGGTGAAATCTTGTTTACACATTGCGTAAAACCACGTGCGCAGGTTTTTTTCGACAGTATAAGGTATTGCATTTTTTGCGCATTGCATTTAGTTTACAGCTCTGCAAGATTATTTTATACGGACATTGAAGTATATAACTTTACAACAGGTTAATGTTTTACTTATATATATTGTGGATATATTATTTAAGGAGTGAATTTAATAGCTACCCAAGTTATACTGTATAATCTGGGTTGGGGCAGTTTACGCTTTATGAACCGCGAATACCTGTAGGTAGTGTATAGTGCATGAATTTGAGAAATTGATTTATTGGATGCAACAGCAGGTGCTGCTCGTATTGTTAAAGTCAGTAAGGCCAAATAACAAAATATGTGTGGTTCCGGTTACCCGACCTTCCCTATTTTATACCCCCTACCCTAAACTTTTTTGGCAATTTTCATATTTTTTCCGGAATTTCCCCTGATTTCCATCAATGGCTCCAGTTTAAGTTTTAGTTTCAGCAATGACGGCCTCCTTGCAAAACATAGTGCAAGTGTTTAATGGTGTAAAATCCAAAGCAAGCTTGCATGTAGGTGTCCCCTACCAATATTGACTAGTATTTTATCACACCACATCTAAATGCCATTTGCAAAGCAGTGATAGGTATTATTTAGAAAAAATTAAGAAAATCATTTTGTTAAAAAACCTACCTACCTACCCTAATCTTTTTGGAAGTGTAACCGGAACCACACATATTTTTTTGTTTGGCCTAAGTAAATCAATTTGGACTTGATCTCTATGTATCAGCTAGTCAAAATTCAGAAAAAGAAAACCCACAGCTGCTGTTAAATAATGCCTTTCAGAGTGCTTTGGTGATTAAAGCACTCACTTGGTAAATGGTAGCTGAGGAATTCAGATTCTAGTTATTAAGGTAAGGTTTATTGTAAGAATATAGTGGTTAGGACTTCTTAACCACTTCGACATATCTTTGGTATTGAAGATATTTGTGTTCAGAATACCAAAGTTCAACTGCATAATGTGTAGAATAAGATTTTCCCCCTTTATTTTAAGTTAAAGGGCAATGTCTTGAACTCTTTTGGGGGGGAGGGGGCACTTGAGCTAAACAGATAAAAAAAAATCAAAAGATCCACTTTATGTCCTGGATAAGTTAAATTTTGTTAAGGTGCAGATCTGTAAGCTGTCCGAGACTCCCAACTGACATGGAAAATAAGTAAATGTTCAATATTGGGAAGAAGGTTATGTTTGTGCCCTTGTACTGATGGGCTTGTAGTCTTTATTTTTTTCTCAATGGGTTTAAGATAAGCTTTATGAATTAAGCTTTATGAATTGATAAAGATATGTAATTATAGAAAGGTTTTCCAGGTGATAAATGTAGTATAGGCAGGGATCTTGGTATCAGTGTAAACTAAAATGATATTTGAGTAAATGGAATTTAGATCAGAGTAGATTTTCAAGATAAAGAAAACTGTGACATTGTAAACTCTCTCCTCTGTTTTCAGGTGATACTTTTTGATGAGGATAAGTGGTTTTTTTTTATTTAGATTGAAAATATATTTTATTTATTCAATTATATTACTCCTTCATGATACACGAGTCATTTGAAGTGAAAATTATGTACTTAAAGTAAAATATTAATTCATTAAACAAACATTATAGAAAAAGAAACAAGAAAAGAGAAGGGAAAAATGCAGAGAAGTACTGGTTTGGAAATATTGACAAAAGTTACATATATGACAGTGTTTAGATAAAATGTTTTGTTGATGTTATGTATGCATGTAGTGCTTCAAATATTTGAATATTAATATTGAGTCCATAATCTGGACTACACATATAATAATAATTTAATTCAGAGATATGATTGCAATCAATAATATTTTGGATTGTTTAAAAAGTACATCTCTAGAAGGTTTATATTTTAGACAAGCAAAAAAGTAATGGTAGGCATCTTAAAACAGTATCAGATCAGTGTTGGAACATTGGCGTTTCTAATAAACATTGGTTATAAATAAGTCAATGAGAACTGCGGAGGGGTGCTGTTCTGTCTTGATTTTCAATCAGACTGGTATTGTTGGTAAAAATTAATGACATTATACTACACGAAGAAATGTTTGCACAGAAGCCAGTGAAACTGTAAAAATGAAGCTTCACTTTTTGTACATTGTATTCTGAAACACATTTTAGAAGTAATGTATTTCCTTAATTACTCATTACAGATTAATTAAAAATGTCAACACCGAACAAAAAGATGAGGATGAACTGGGAAGTTCCAGCTTCCCGGATGTCACACCAGACGTTCAATCCGATTCGTAACATTGTAGACACAATGCAGCTTACTCCGAATCCAGATAAAGAAATGATAGCTCTATCTATTGGTCAGTAAAAATTAATGATAGCTCCATCTTTTGGTCAGTAAAAATTAATGATAGCTCCATCTTTTGGTCAATGAAAATTTAATAATAGCTCTATCTATTGGTCAATGAAAATAAAAATAAATGCTTGCATGCTCTTTCTATTGTTCAGTTAAATTAGAGATAATAGCTTTATGTATAAGTAGTGAACATAATATTATACAAATATAAAGCCTCATGTTTTGGTCTGTAATGCTAGCCTTTACAGGCTTACTTTTGGACCATCATTGTAATAATGCAGAAATGGTTTGAGTCATTAATGATAATTATCAGTTTATGTCATCTTCTTGTATTAAAGGTAACCTTGACAGGCAAATTTCCTACATATTTTACAATATTTACTTATTATGTAGTATGTTAATATACACCTATTTACTGGCTATGAGGACAATAGCAAGTTTATCATTCCCCAAGACAGCAACTATTTCCCGAGGCGCAGCCGAGGGAAATAATTGCTGTCGAGGGGGACGATAAACTTGCTTTTGTCCGAATAGTCAGTAAATAAGTGTTTCATTATACCGAAGCAGTCTTTACTTGTGTTATGTCACAATCTGGATAAAACCAGAAGAGTTCCGAGATGAAAAGCGAGGGAAACAGAATGCTGCCGGTGAATAGTTTAATGACTTTTTCACCATGGGCAAATAGCACAAAACCTATTCCACGGTAGGGGCTGTTTGGAAAAAAATAGCAGGTTTATTTGTCATATTTTTATATAGAAAAAATTCACAGAGGTATAATAATTTAAAATATTCAACTTTAGATGTACATATTAGGTCAGTAACCCCATTACCTTATAAGATTAAGGAGAATGCTAGGTCAAAAGAATAATTACCAGGTAGTCTTAATATGAATGAGTATTTCCTTTTTGCAGGAGATCCAACTGTTTTTAACAATTTGCCAATTCCGGAGCATATTAACAACTGTATAATCGACAAGATACAGGGTCAGAAACACAACGGCTACAACCCTTCTATAGGTACGACTTCTTACAACTTAGGTCAACTAAAATAAGTCACAGCCTAGAACTTGTCTAGCCCATTCTTATTTGCATGAACAGAGAATAAATTTGTCAGACAGACTCTGTATGAACTTGGAACATTTATTTTACCTTCTCAGCATATTCATTTATCTCTGTCGCTCATCAGTTCTTGTATAACTGTCCTGTTTTTGTGTCAGGTTATGAAGAGTCCAGAGAAGCAGTGGCTAAATACTCCACGATACCAGACAGACAACTCACAGCTAAGGTGAACATTGCCATTTTGATGTAATTAGGATTGAAAAATTTAATGATGCAAATTTTTTTCTCAATAATTTATGCAAGAAATTGAATTGGACAGAAGGCCATTGGCCAGGTTAAGTTATGTACAAAAAATGTATGACACACACAGATAATATCCAATTTTTTGTTAAAATATACTGTAAATTGTATAATGTCCTTCATTTGAGTCACCATATGTGAGAATAATATTTAAAATTTTTGCTAAATTTAAACAGTGGAATTAAAACAATAATAATGATTTTGGGCTTTTCTTTTAACTACTAAACTAGATTAGAAAAAAAATATTTCACATAATATTTCTTTCTCTTTTTTAAAATTCCAAAAAATTAATGCTCTTTTTTTCTACCTATTTTTTAATTTTGTATTATAAATATAATATTCCTGACAGGGGTTGGCTGTTATGACTGTAATTTGTGTTGTAAATTAATGCTTTATGGCAAGTGTCATGTAACTTCCAAGGCCACATATATACATGTATTAAGAATGGTAAAAGAAAAACAGGTGAAATATAAATATGTTGCACTTTAAAAAAGAAAAAAAAAAAACATCCACTTAAATTTCAATATGCAATATTTAAAATTTTCCCCCACCATGAAATGACCAGGGCATATAGTGTTAGCCCTTTCTGTTCATCACCAGTTTCACACAATTTAAGTATGTTAAGGTATAAACAACTGATTCCATAAAAACAAAACCAGCAATAAGATATTTTATTTTTGTGCCATTTTCACCAATTGTTATTTTCACACCAGGGGGCTGAGAAATCCCATTGCCCGACGCCCAGGGCTAGTGAATTTTAGGGGTGGGAAAGTGAAATTTTATCAACCACTTGCCCATGGGCAAGTGACTTAAAAAAGATTAAATCCACATACAAGTCATAGAAATATAGCTAGGCACAGGGGCTTTCATGATCTACTCAGTATTTGTCTTCCTATTTTTGAAATCTAGATAAATGTTTACAGTATAAGTTTATGGTCATGATGGTGGGGCAAGCAAAAATTCAGGTAGGGCAAGTGAATTTTGAGCATGCACTTGCCCTTGGACAAGTGCCTTAAAAATCTATTTGTCAGCCCCTGCACACTCTTGGACTTTCTCTTACTTAAATCTAGCCTATCAGGGGGGCATAGTGTCACAATGACAAATCTAGTTTTGTTCAGTTATTTTTTTTTAAAATTATTTTGCTTTTGTTGTATGTATTTTTTTAAATTTGTATTTTAAAAGCAGCATATTCTTATGAGAGGGATAAGAACTACCAGTAATTTTGAAATCTTGTTGACACTGAGTCAAGGTGAATATATTCAGCCATAGCCTATAAATCATGATGATTTTAGATATAAATCATAGAGACTAATTTGTAAGGTGTCCCACATTTTAAGATTAGGATGAAACGATAGCCATTTCTCCATTGTGTTGGTTTGCTATTACTGCCTGATTTTGTTTCAGATACCGATTTGTAGAGTTTATATCCTGGCCTGATCCTAAAATTTAATTCATCTACAGTAAATATGACACTTTCATTTTCATTTGCTCTATGTGTTTTTTTAATGAAATTGCTGATGCCTTCTTATATGGCTCTGAATTTTAATGTTTATTTCAACTTCATTCAACAGTACATTGAAATTGTTTAATGTAGGCTATGGAACATTTTAATTATCATGTTTGTACAAGATAATGACAACTTGGTATGCATTAATGAATTGTTTTGGAGAGAGAGCTTGTAAAATATTCCATATGTGGAATGACATCATGTAAACAAGTATGAAGATATTTCGGCATATTTTAATAAATCTGGCTTTTCATTTCACATCTGTCAAATAACATGTTGATGCTATGATTCAAATGAATACATTTGTAGAGACAAATTATTTTTATTAGGATGTGATATTGACTGGTGGTTGCTCTATGGCCCTTGATCTGTGCATCTGTGTACTGGCTAACCCAGGGCAGAATATCATTGTACCGCAGCCGGGGTTCTCCATCTATAAAACTCTGGCCGAGTCCCACGGCATTAACGTCAAGCACTACAATCTACTGGTACATAAACATAACTAAAAACAAAAAAAACATAGAGTATATTTTTTACTTTTAAATTTTGTTTACATGACGTGACATTTTTTTATGTGATTACATAAGGATGGATTGCTTTCTTGTTTTGTAGCCAGAGAAAAACTGGGAAGTTGATCTGGATCATCTGGAGTCCCTGATAGATGACAAAACAGCGACAATTGTCATTAATAATCCATCCAATCCTTGTGGTTCCGTGTTCAGTCGCAACCACCTGCTTTCAATTTTGGACCTTGCTAAAAAACACAAAGTTCCCATCATTGCTGATGAAATATATGAACATTTTGTAAGTTTAAGACTAATTTATTTGTAAACATAAGTTACCATCCCACTGAATACCACTTGAATACTGTACAAAGTTTTAAGTTAAATTAATATTTCAGTATGTGAAAATTTTATTCCCAGCTAATGGAAATACGAAGAATTTGTAGCAATCTCTTGACCAGTGATTTATTAAACTATTTTTCATTCCCCAACATTCGCAAAAGCACTCATTCATTTAGTATGTGTCCCAAAAACTTTTACCTTAGTCATAACTTTTGAATGAGAGAAAATAGGGTTTTCAAATTCAATACATGCATTTATACCTGTGACAAGACCTGTATGAACATGTGATTTTTAGCTCACCTGAGCTGAAAGCTCAAGTGAGCTTTTCTGATCACCTGTTGTCCGCTGTCTGTCTGTCCGTCCTTCTGTCCGTCCGTCTGTAAACTTTTCACATTTTCAACTTCTTGTCAAGAACCACTGGGCCAATTTTAACAAAACTTGGTACAAAGTATCCTTGGGTAAAGGGGAGTATAAGTCGTTAAAATAAAGGGCCAAGTCCCCTTACAAGGGGAGATAATCAAGAAAAGACAAAAATAGGGTGGGGTCATTAAAAAATCTTCTTCTCAAGAACCACTGGTCCAGAAAAGCTGAAACTTATATGGAAGCATCCTGGGGTAGTGTAAATTCTAAATTGTTCAAATCATAACCCCCGGGGGTAGGGTGGGGCCACAATAGGGAATCCAAATTTTACATAGAAATATATAGGAAAAATCTTTAAAAATCTTCTTCTCAAGGACCACTGATCCAGAAAAGCTGAAACTTATTTGGAAGTATCCTGGGGTAGTGAAGATTCTAAATTGTTCAAATCATAACCCCCGGGGGTAGGGCGGGGCCACAATAGGGAATCCAAGTTTTACATTGAAATATATAAGAAAAATCTTTTAAAATCTTCTTCTCAAAAACCACTGGGCCAGAAAAGCTGAAACTTAAGTGGAAGCATCCATTGTTCAAATCATGACCCCTGGGGGTAGGGCAGGGCTACAAAAGGGAATCCAAGTTTTACATTGAAATATGTAAGAAAATCTTTAAAAATCTTCTTCTCAAGAACCACTGATCCAGAAAAGCTGAAACTTATTTGGAAGTATCCTGGGGTAGTGTAGATTCTAAATTGTTCAAATCATAACCCCCGGGGGTAGGCGGGGCCACAATAGGTATATTAAAAGGGGGGAAATCTGGTAAAGAACAGCATGGCCAAAGTTACTCAGGTGAGTGATGTGGCCCATGGGCCTCTTGTTTTTTTTAACCTCTTGTCTTTGAATGTTGACCAACTTTTCAAATATTTTAACTTGGTCATATCTTTTGGACATGAAGAAATAGGGCTTTTATATTTACTTGTATTTTATCAGTTTCAAGATCTTTACAAATGTTCTATCATTTTTTGACCTCATGTTCTACACCCTGAATTTGACCTACTTTTTAAATTTTTTTACCTTGGCTGTAACTTTTCCCATCTTTGTTTAGGCATGCCATATGGTGGGATTCATTTTTGTACTAATCTGATGTCAACTTCCTGTTTATCCGTGCGTCTGTCCGTACCATACATAACAAACTTTGGTCACAGTTTTCTCAGCAACTACTCATTGCAGATGCTTGAAATTTTAACACACTCTTTGTTTAGGCATGCCATATGGTGGGATTCATTTTTATACTAATCTGATGTCAACTTCCTGTTTATCCATGCGTCTAACCATACCATACATAACAAACTTTGGTCGCAGTTTTCTCAGCAACTACTCATCCCAGGTGCTTGAAATTTTAACACACTCTTTGTTTAGGCATGCCATATGTTGGGATTCATCATTTTTGTACAAATCCGATGTCAACTTCCTGTTTATTAGTGTGTCTGTCTGTATCATACATAACAAATTTTGGTCGTAGTTTTCTCAGCAACTACTCATCGCAGATGCTTGAAATTTTACCACACTCTTTGTTTAGGCATGCCATATGGTGGGATTCATTTTTGTACTAAGTTTTCTTAGCAACTACTCATCGCAGGTGCTTGAAATCTTAACACAATGTTTTTTTAGGCATGCCATATGTTGGGATTCATTTTTTACTAATCAAGTGTCAATTTCCTGATTATCACTGCGTTTGTCCATCACTGAACTTGTGTATTCACATCAGAGCGGGGGTATTATTAGTAAGCATTGGCTCACAGACTTCTTGTTTTTTCACATGTACATTACCTGTGACAAGACCTTTCTAACTGTACTATAATATACAATTAATTACCCCTTATGGGGTCAACATGCTGAAATAAGGACCAGAGACCTGGCCCACGAGGTGACCTGACCTGACCGAGGCCACGTAGCGGCCAAGGTCAGGTCAGATCAGCGAGTGGGCCAGGTCAAGGGTCCTTATTTCACCATGTTGAACTCATAAGGGGTAATCAATTGTTTTATTATACCGATATAAGTTAAGACAATTTTTGTAGGCTTAATTACTAAGATAATCAATTGTGTATTAGACCTACAAACCGTTATTATCAGTGTTTCATCGGGATTCGCTAGTGAAGTTGTTTACTTTTCGCCTGCAAGTCTTGTAAGTTTTTGCACCGCCGATTTATTAAAACATTCTGTGATTGTCAGTAACATGCATTTTTATAAATTCAGAAATACCATTTCCGAGTACAATAACAATCTGGTGCAGACTTTTACTATATAAAAGAGCCAAGTCTGCATTCGTTGGATTTGACATTGTAACGAAAGTTTCAATGAAAACGATAAATTTTATCAGTGACGCATCTGAAGGACTAGCTGCAATAATGTAGCCCTCTCCGATTTTTTTTAATCTGATATTTTCAGGAGAGGGCTACAATTCCACTGCATCTCTGTAATGGTGCAAATATATTTTTTAGATACGGGCGACTGCAGGCAAAATAAATTGTTTTTGCATTCAACTTACTTCCAATAAGACGGAATTTTTATTCACTATCAACATCATAGCCCTTTATAAGCGAAAACCAAGTAAAATAAATCTGCGTGTTTACCAGTCGTTTTCTTCAGCAGCCATGACAGTTCTCGCGTGATGTACAGAGACTTCCGCTTGAATTTTAGAAGCACTTGATAAAGTAAATGTGGGTGTTGATAAATGTTTGTGTTGTATGATATCACTAAACATCGATAAACAAAAGCATCCCATGTGATATTTTTTTCATAAATAGTGATATTTGTGCTAAAATAAGGGAAATCCTAAACGATCCGCTCCCCTAGATCCCGATTTCTCATTGGTTGTCCCAAAATAAAATCGATCAAGGTCAGTAAACATGGCGGATAAATTCAAGTTGTGATGTTGACATACACGAAAAATAACCGATATAAGGATTATTCTGGATATTTTTGGATCAATTCATGTCTTGCATAACTACATTTTATGAGTTCAGGTAAGATATGTTAATAAAATACCCACTTACTGACAATATGAGCCGAAATCTGTGCGGTAGTGAATCACTCCCGCACTTGCACCATTACGGAGATCCTAAGGAGTTGTAGTCCTCTCAAAAAAAAAAAAAAAAAAAAAAAAAAAAAAATCGGAGAGGGCTACATTATTGCAGCTACTGAAGGAGTCAGAAGGACAATCGTATTCCGTATCATAAACAGACTAAACATATTTTTATAAGGCCGAGGCTATCCGCACGACGGTCGTGCTAATTACCGGTGTTATCCGCACGACGGTCGTGCCGATTACTGTTGTTATCCGCACGACGGTCGTGCCGATTACGGAGGCTATCCGCGCGACAAACTTTGAAACAATTTTATAATTCTTTTTCTTTATAACTTTATACTATTTATATTTGCATATACTTTATTATAATTTTTTTTGTTTATAACTTTATAACTTTATTTGCATATACTTTATTTATATAAATAAATTTTTACTCGGTGTTTTGCTATTGTGTGTAGAAACTCAAAGCGAATTTAACATATTAGACGGACACAAAAAAGTGAACTTATCCCTAACTCTTCAGAAATCCCTAGTTCATTCAAGTGCTAGAGTGTTTGCCGCGGCATAATTAAGATTACGAATTTTCAAAAAGAAAACAACGGCCTTTTTTCGAAATACGACACTTAAATTTCAGTTTTATATATTAAAAAAAAAAGCTTCTGGACAGTCCGACACTGATGGTTAATTTGCCCCATTTTGCGCAAGTGGTGCCTTTAAAAAAAATACAGGGTTTTCTTCCTTTAAAATCCTCTGGAATGTGTTTGGGGTGGAATGGGTTGATTTTAAATAGAAAAAAAAATCTCTAGAATTTTTTTTAAAATTACAGTCTTGGAATCTTTGCTTTTAGGAAGGGTATAAAAAAAAAGACTTTTTTATCTGCTTCTCAAATTTTAAGGGAATTTGAAATACGTGCAGTGTAGTGGTTATTTGAAGTGTCACAGCACGGCTTGTACACTACGAATTTTCCTGATTTTCCAGGTGAGTTGAGGCAGTGAAATTCTTTAAATTAATTTTTTTGTTATAAAGGAGTACATTATAGCAAAATAATTGGTAGTCTGCGTCCTATGATACACATGTGCGGATCTAGAGCCCCCCCCCCCCCCCTGGAATTTGCAGTTATAAAATGCATATACTAAACCAACTAAAAGTGACCATGGACCCCCTAGTTGGTCTGAAAAGACATAGGTATGAAGCTTTAGACGTCAATGACTACTCCCCCCCCCCCCCCTCCCCCACCGAAATAGGTTTTTCACGTTTGGGAAAGGAGTTTACGGGGTTTTTTTTAATTTTCTCTTGTCAAGAAATTTCTGGGTTTGAATTTTTTTTTGACTGGGGTGGAACCCCCCCCCCCCCCCCCCCGGAAAAAAATCCCTGGATCCGCGCCTGATACATGTACATGTACACGTGAATTATTATATCGGAATCAAGATCACGGTCTCAGTATTGCAATAAAGTAGACTAGATGTGAATCTATCCCGTGCTTTTTTAAAATATTTATATTTACTACTCTGAAATTAAGATCAATCTTTTCTTTTATGTACATGGATTACATATTAATTTTAAAGAATTTTTGAATGAATTTAAATGTTCCTGTATATTTGAAAAACTCCAAACAAGTTTGATCAACGTACTTAAATAAGAAAACGTTTAGATGAAACTATATATGTTCACTATCAAAGTATATAATAATGCATATATCTTTAAAAAAAAAAACCCTCTATGAATATATTAGAAATTAATTGATTTACTGTTTAACATAAAATTTATTTTAAAATAAAATAAATAGGGGAAATACGACAGAATATTTTAATCACTTTATAATAGCTATGTGAAGTAATGTAAACGTTATTTTTTCCATGGGTCACAATTCCATGGAATCGCAAACTCTGTTCAATTCGCGGATATAAAATTATCTGAATTTTTGATTGCCTTTGCACTCTTAAAGATTTTTAAATTTGTACGCTGTGATAAATTTTCACATATAGCGTTATTAATTAATCCCCTTAAAAAAAAATACGTCTACAGTATACTGGAAGGTTGAAGGTTGTATGGAAAGAGAGAGGGAGAGAGAGAGATTATTAAGACCATCCAGAAAAATGGAAAATTATGGAAAGAGAATATAAACACCATAAAAACGAAAGAAAATTATTGAAAATAGATAGCTATATTTTTTTTATATTTCCAATCAACGTCTGAAGTACGTTACATGTACTCAAGAGATGATATAAAGGACGAATAAAAAAATAATTCTTATTATACTGTGTCACGACGATTCACGAAGAAAATTCACCATAAGCAAATTTTACTTAACCGAATGTTATAATTAGTTTTACATGTGTGTTTTAGGTGCATCTCTTTTACTTTGTATTAAATTTTTGGTGAAAATTGTATATAATGTACTATAGAGTTATCTCTCTTGTGTCGTGCGGATAAGAACTGCAATTAGCACGACCGTCGTGCGAATAACGAAAATAATCGGCACGACCGTCATGCCGATAGACACTTCCTTTTTATAATGGCATTTTTTGTAATGAACAGTCATTACTGTATGCATTAATTTTTAAATTTGAATGGAATTTAGATTAACAGGTCATTTTTAGCGGTCATTATTTATAATGACCGTGTCATTATACCCCACATGCAATGATTCCTAGGTCATTATTGCTGTAAATGGTACTTTTTGGAGTCATTATTGAGTTTAAAAGCCTTCTAACAAGCCAATCAGATTTGAGTATTCTTAATAGAGGTATAATAATATACAATTAATTACCCCTTATGCGGTCAACATGGTAAAATAAGGACCCGAGACCTGGCCCACGAGGTGACCTGACCTGACCGAGGCCGCGTAGCGGCCGAGGTCAGGTCAGGTCAGCGAGTGGGCCAGGTCGAGGGTCCTTATTTTACCATGTTGAACTCATAAGGGGTAATCAATTGTTTTATTATACCGATATAAGTTAAGGCAATTTTTATAAGCTTAATTACTAAAATAATCAATTACATGTATAAGACCTACGAACTATTATCAGTGTTCCATCGGGATCGGGATTCGCTAGTGAAGTTGTTTACTTTTCGGCTGCTAGTCTTGTAAGTTTTTGCACCGCCGATTTATTAAAACACTCTGTGATTGTCAGTAACATTGCATTTTTATAAATTCACAGATACCATTCCCGACTACAATGACAATCTGGTGCAGACTTTTACTGTACAAGAGAGCCGAGTCTGCGTTCGTTGAATTTGACATTGTATTGTAACGAAAGTTAATTTCAATGAAAACGATAAATGTTATGACGCATCTAAAGGCCAATCGTGTTCCGTATCCTAAAAATACTATACATATTTTTATAACGGCAATTTTTGTAATGTACAATCATTACTGTATGCATATTTTTTTTTTAATTTGAATGGAATTTGGATTAACAGGTCATTTTTAGCGGTCATTAATTTTATTGACCGGTCATTATACCCCACGTGCAATGATTCCTAGGTCATTATTGCTGTAAACGGTACTTTTTGGAGTCATTATTGAGTTTAAAAGCCTTCTAACAAGCCAATCAAATTTGAGTATTCTTAATAGAGGTATAATAATTCAAAATATGAAACTTTTTTATGTATGATGACAGACTTGACAGTTACAGTTTGCCATAGACCATTGCACCCCAACCCATAAAACACCGAAAGTGGGGGACCACCATTCTCTGAATTTACTTGTTAATTTTATGTCAACTATTTATAAAAACAAATTCTTAAGTAATAGAAATAGCAGGTTTTGTTTAGGAATTGGCTAGGAAATTTCCCACTAGTGTACATTTTAACTGACTTGTATTAAATTTGTAGGTGTTTTCTGGGAATCAGTATCACTCCCTGGGATCTCTGTCAGATGACGTTCCCATTCTGTCATGTAGTGGGCTCACTAAAAGGTGAGAGGATTGTAATAACGGAGACAAATTATTTAGCTTTGTCTTTAATTTACTACTGTTTTATCAAATTTTCCCCTAAATTATCAGTTATGCAGCATATTCTATATGGATTATGTGGTAAGAACACAATAGGAAGGCTAGTTTTAAAAGAAATTTGACCAAATTGAATTATGGGTAATTGTAGATTTCTAGTCCCTGGCTGGAGGCTTGGTTGGATTGTTATCCATGATCGCCATGACGCGTTTAAGGACGTGCGGCCAGGACTAGTCAGACTGACTCAGCGACTACTTGGTCCTAATTCCATCGTACAAGCCGCTCTTCCAGAAATCTTGACAGGCACGCCACAGCATTTCTTTGAAGATACTTTAAAGTATGTGGAAGAGAATGCTAGGAATTTCTACAACAGGATCTCTAAAATTCCAGGTCTGAAGCCTGTGGAACCTCAGGGTGCCATGTATATGATGGTAAGTTGTTATAGTGTGTTATATAGTTATTATTATACAGTCAAAGTATATCATTGAGGGAGTTAGCAAGATTCCAGTTCCCTAAGGCCAGGACTATTTCCCGAGGCAAAGCTGATGGAAATAGTCCTGGTTGAGTGGAACTGGAGTCTTGCTAACTCCCACAATGATATACTTTTAACTGTTTTATTATACCGATACAAACATAAAATTTAGAGGATTCAGATAGCATGACTTCAAAGCAGGGATTAGCTCACTGAACTAACACACATAGTTGCCAACTCACCCGATTTCGTCGGGTTACACCCAATTTTTCGACCCTTAACCCGATTATTTTTTATGACATGGGGGGTCATGCTTTTCACCCGATTTTTGTCGAACAACCCGAAAATCTCCCAATTTCCGGATTTGGTTCGTAAATTAGGTTGCACTTTTAACTTCCAGTTATAACCCAAGCTTGGATCTTCGTAAACATTGCCGATGGCTATGTTCAGTAGGCTGTGTACTAGTAAATTATCAGTGCAGGTGTAAACAATTAGCTGGGAGTTGTTTTGACAAATCAAAGCTTGAAGTCAATATAAAATGGCTTCAGATAGAACTATATCGTTATCAGGGTCAGCAGGAACAAATTGAACCAAAAAAAAAAGAGAGAGAGAAACAATATTTGTGTACATATCAAGGATCTTGGAAAACAACTTTCATTAGATAAAATAAAGTGACCGAAGATAGTGTAGGCCTAACTGTACATTTAATACATATTACATTTGTTAATTAAATTAATTCGGGAGAGGAAAAATAACTTCAAAACCAAAACTGGAATACTTTCAAATTTAGCACAAACATGTGCTTGGAATCAGCAATGCAGATTCTGAAAAGGCTTTCTTTTTTAAAAAATAATGGACACTTAATTCAGGTCAATACTGAATAATGAAACCTTCAATGCTCTTTTTTAACATGTAAATTTAATCAATATATATTAATTTTTTGTCATTGTAAGTTTAAGCCTTTTTTAAATAAAAGAATTCTCAATACACAAATTCTTATATATATATATATAATTTAATCATGGTAAATATGTCGTGAATGTCGTTACGCGTTATGACCAGATTTTTTACTTTCCAAATCTGGTCATGACCAGATTTTTACATGTTGGAGGTTGGCAAGTATGCTAACACACAGGGATTAGTCCATTCACATATCATACCAATGTAAAAGTAAAATCTAGAGGATTACGAATAACCGGGAATTAGCTTTCAAAGCAGGGATTAGCTCACTTGACTAACGCACAGGGATTAGTCCATTCATAATGATTTCTAAGGAATTAGTCACATCTAACGATCTTATGTTATAGAGGCAATGTATCAGTAGAGGTATAATAAAGTGTCAGGGATGTGCAATTACCGGGGCTACCAATTTTAGACATCGGGCTATCATAAATCTATACTGCGTTAGCCCGTCGGGCTAGTAAATCTAAAACGAAAGTATACGTATATTTGACTGAATTGATGTACAAATTAACCTTGTTGTAAAATCATAATCTTTAATTCGTTTTAACCTATATGTTTTGTGTGTTGCTATCGCCAGACGTTTCAGTGACATAATAATTATAGTCGATAAAAATAGGGAGAAATACCTGACAATAACAAAGCGCAAACCATTATTTGTTTTATTTAATTTAAGTTAAATGGGTTTTTTTTAACCTTTTTGTTATAGTTATACATGTATTGTTTTCGGTAGTTAATGGGCTAGTGACTGGCAACCTCGGGCTAGTAACTTTGTTACTACCACTAGCCCGACGGGCTAGTAACTAATTTTTGTAATTGCACACCCCTGAAGTGTGTTATATAGTTGTTATATTGTGTTATATAGTTGTTATAGTGTGTTATATAGTTGTTATAATGTGTGATATAGTTGTTATCGTGTGTTATATAGTTGTTATAGTGTGTTATATAGTTGTTATAGTGTGTTATATAGTTGTTATAATGTGTGATATAGTTGTTATAGTGTGTTATATAGTTGTTATAGTGTGTTATATAGTTGTTATAGTGTGTTATATAGTTGTTATAGTGTGTTATATAGTTGTTCTAATGTGTGATATAGTTGTTATAGTGTGCAGTCATCTACTCTCGTTTTACCAGCTGCACTTCTGGTAGGTTCGTACACGAACATGTGTATACAAAATAAAGTGTCAATTTTTACTACCAACTGCCTAGTGATATTTACTAAGCAGATCGTACTACTAATACTTTCCAGCCTTTGATTACAATCTAAAGTATGACATTCCGGTAACTTTGAGAGTAAAACTAGGACCCATTAAGATAATTCTAATTTTTAATTGTTCAACAACTAGAAATGGCAATCATTCAGAAGAATTCACATTTATGTATAAATGATCATTTAAACAAAAGCATAGATCCTCCCTTCTCTCACTCTTTCTCTCTCTTTCCCAGGGATTATTGAAGAATATGTACTTGGGGGATTTGAACTCCCAAGAATTTATAACTAAATATTTGGATACAGAAAGCAACATTAAGTTAAAAAAAAATGTAAAGCTTAAATGCAGCAATTGTTCATATCAAACAAAATCATGATAAACTCAGATAAAAAGTGTCTTATAATGATATTCTGTCAGTAAAACTAAAACATATTGTATGTGACATTACAAATGTATGTAAGCATTGTTATCTTAAGAGACTTATTGTAAGACTTCATTTTACAGATTGGCATTGACACAGAGCATTTCCCAGGAATTAAAGATGATGTAGATTTCACTGAGAAGTTGGTCAAAGAACAAAGTGTTTTCTGCCTGCCTGCTAAGGTAATTCTCCATAACCATATCCCATAATACAGTCACTGGTGTAACTATTAATGTTTGTTACTGAGAAATACTTTGTTATCTCGTTATTTTACAGTGTTTCCAGTTTCCAGACTTTTTCCGGATAGTTCTAACAATTCCCAAATCTAAAGTATCCATGGCCTGTGACAGAATTGAGGAATTCTGTAGAGATCATTACAGCCAGAAAAAAGTCCAAGGCAAGACCGTGACTAATGGCACTGCCTGTAATTAGACTGACCCATGACCAGTGGCAATGCCTGTAAATAGACTGACCCATGGCCAGTGGCAATTAATGCCTGTAAATAGACTATCCGATGACCAATTTCTGGATGACATCTGACTTGACTTACTTTAGGCTGCATTATGGTTCAGAATACCATGATACTCCTTATAGGACCAATAACTTATTCCACAGCTTTACAGAACTTTTGAAAAGTTAAGATATTGTTTTCAAAGCTTATGTTTTTCATGATGATTTAATCAAGATAATTTTCTAAGAAACATATCAGAGTGTCTCAGTATAACGTACAGGTAACTCTTGATGGCTTGAACTTCCATCTGAAGTGAATCTCCAGTCCCGATTTATTTCCCTATATAACTAAGCAAATTTACTCTTGAACTCTATCTCTCAAACCCTTGATCCCTCATAGTCAAAATGCCGTCCTGCTGTGCATAATCTATTGCAATTCACCCTTTACCTGGGCATTTAAATGGCTTCAGGCATTAGACATGTGACCCAAGAAACGGATGTTTATTATTCTGTGACACTTGTATCGCAAGGTGATAATTGATCATATTGTTGCCTGTCTGCCCCTAAAATAATTAAGATAAACTGTCTTGCAATAAATTAAAGATGCAGTGAAAATTAGAAATTGATTATAATATGAGAAATTAATTTTGAGTAAGTGTCAAATGAATGATGTCGTTTTCATCAATCAAAAGTGTAATCTGATGTTCGTCTTATCTAGATAAATAAATATAATGACAATATACATTTTTTGGTTTAAAAAAAAGATTCACCAGAAAAATACAAAGGAGTGTTGTTTTTAATGCATGTGTTTGAGATTAGCACTGGAAATGGAGAATTGTAACATCTGGTTAGACTAATTTTATAATTTGTCAATCAACCCGCAAAATTCCAGACTCTTGAACTCTTGATCTCTCGAATATTTTCTGTGGTCCTGTGGATTTTGAGGCATTCAAAGTTACCTGTACCTAGTCATTTGTGCCAAATATTAATAGCGATTCTCTGTAACCACTTAAACTTCTTTGCCACGCATGGTCACCGATTTGGATGAAACTTTGCCCATTATAACAACTTGACACCAGAAACATATATCAAATAAAATTTCGTTGCTTTGTGTCTTGGTTGCCATGGTAACAGCCAGAAAAGTTGAAAAAATTGAGATTTTCAGCTACTTTGAATCTTTATTACACCTAAATAAAGACCAAGAAAAACAAACAAACCATTCTCCCAAAAACATGACACCTTGTTGCCACTTATGCTATAGAGAAACTATTAAGAATTTATCTGTTTGTAAGTGGTAACCATGGGTACATTTGGAATACATTTTAGATGCTGAAAAATGCTGAAAAACGCTCAATATTCACAAATGATGGATGTTTCATGATCAAACTTAAATCAACAATCTAAGAAAAACAATAAAAAAATGCTTGACCTTAAGTAATAAGGTATTGGCAATATTATTCTAAAAATAACTTTCATGGTTGCCATGGTAACACAGTGTAACCATGCAAAATCTGTTGCTGTGATTGGGTTAATGCTACTCTCTTAAGGAAAAACAATAAAATTCATGACTGGCACATATACATCCTTATAACCTTGCAACACCAACAACATTAGAAAAATTCGGATTAATTGTTACTTTGCAGTGTAACCATGGAAACAACGTACCAGTTGTTCAAAGTGATATTTCTTTGCTGCTTTAGAATTTACTTACCTTTTAATCAAGAAACATATTACTTAACTCACCTTGAATAGTACTTATCTGGTAGAACTAAAGTTGAATATCATATATTGATAAAGTTTGTTGAAAAATACAACACTGTTGCTATGGTTACCAAGAAGGGAAAATGTTCATTTTTGTTAATTTTATATCAATATTAAACCCTATGTGCCAGCTTTTTGCATCCAGTTAGAGATTGGGTGGTAGTCAAAATTAAAAGTCAGGTTCATTGTTCATATATATCAATCATAAAAGTTTTGGGAATCTACATACAAGGGTACGTATCCAAGGAAACAGAATATTTTTCAAATTTTTAAGCATAATTTTTCGGCTAATTTCCATAGCAACGCCCTATTTAAAGAATTGAATATGAATTTTTTGAAATGTTAAAATTAGGGTCACACCAACGCCTTTAAAAATTGATCATCAGTTATATAGAAATATGCTTTTTAAAAAAATAGGATAAGATTAAAAAACTAAAAGAGTAAATTTAAAATCCCTTCTTGATATTAAAACCATGGCAACCATTGTCAAACTATAAGAAATATCATAATTCGTCCTTGGTATATGTTACAAGGATCTCTTGTCTATTATTTGCTTTCATTTCAACCTATAATTGTTTAAATTCTTAAGTGTATGACTTTATAAAATTAAATGAGCAAAATTATTACTTTTGAATACTTTGTTTCCATAGTAACGTATGTAATAGTTGATTTACCAAACATGTTTATCACGCATTTAAGACCTCAGGCCTTTAACTTTCAGAAACAGTCATTGCCACTTGTTTGCTTTGCTGCAAACCTTAACTGTGGGACTCTGAACATGTTAAAAAATGCCATTTTTGAAACGTTAGGACATGTTGCTATGGTAACCATGACACGTAGCAACCAATTTTTGCCTGATTTGAGTTTACAGTATCAAAGACTTTTATCATAGAGAGTTTGGAGAAATTCTGAGACTATGCGTGCCACAGCTCCTATATAAAAGTTCAAGTCATTACAGAGAATGGCTCTTAAATTGTGAAATAATTGAAAGCAGTTTTAATACAGCCTTGTTGACATTAACTTGATTTTAGTCTCTGATGTTTAGTTTGATACATTCTTACCGTTTACAAGTTGTATATATTGTTTTGTGTATTCTTTTTTTACACTATATATTTTGTTTTGATAGAAATGTTGACAGAATTTTCTTTTTGTATATTACTGTATATAAAAGTAATAATGTGTGAATAATCAATAATTTAGTACACGATTGTAATATACAAGGTTATGATAATCAGTACATATTTGTAATAAAAGGGGTTTCTTTTTTAGTATCTTTTAGTATTTTTATTAGTTTGTTTTGTTTTTAATTTTTCTATGTAATTCCATAACAGAATTTTTTTTTTAAATTTTTGTATTTTTTCCTTTCATGAAAAAATTTGAAATGATGTTCATAATAACAGTAAGATTTTGAGTTTTGATCTAAAGTGTTTTAACACATTATACATTATCTCTATTTATGTTGGTGCATATGAAAGCTTTTAAAAAATGTAATAAGGAATAACTTTGAATTAACTATAATTGGTTTTTCTTTGCCTTATAAAATACTCAATTTCTTTTTCTTTGTGGACCCTCTCTATACATTGCTCACTGAAGAGTTCCAATTCCACAGTACTTATATGCACTAAGAGTGATCTTCCCTTGGACTTAAAAATATCTTCAGTGTAATTCATAGTTTGTAAACATTTTAATTAAATTTATTGTTTACATGTATTACACCAATTATAAATTTGTTAAATTTTTTTTTTTCATATGTTTTCTATATTTAAGTAAACAATAGTATTTTCTGTTCATTACTTCTTTATTGTCTAAACATCTGTGGGACAGAGTTCATAAACTATTGCAAAGGATTATCTCCCTTTGCATATTCAGTTTTTTTAAATGAATTTTTACTTGCTGTATATAGGTAACTATAACTTTTCATGTTGGAGTGTAATCTCAAAGATTTAGTTTTTTAGACATCCTAAGTATAATGTAAGCTACATGTATTTTATACATATTAATAATAGTATTAAGGATACATAACACATACAAAAATTTGATATATATTTTTTGACTGATTTTGATTAGAAATCAATAAATAATAAAGAAAAATACAAAGAAATTGTAAGGTATTTAGTTATATGACTTTTTGTTGTTTTCTTTGTAATTCTATACAAAATTTTGCACACATTTTTAACATTGTGACAAGATCTTACAAAATTCTCCCACTTTACCTGGCAAATATTTTTCTGGTTACCTATTTGAATATAAATGATTAAATCTATGATAAATATTGCCGATTTGTGAAAAAGTTTGTTTGTGTTATATATCCTTAAATGTAGATACACATTTCACAATAGATTTATATTATACAGCCCTTGTATGGGAATTGGCTCTGGTGGTAGAGGGGATACCACTCTTCCTGGTTTGGTGCAGCTTATAGGTCAAATGTATGGAGGCCATTTGTTGAGAGATTTTGTTTTTTTTTTTGAATGATTCTCCATTATTATGTTTTGTCTTGTTGAAAATAAAAATTGAGATTTTCTTGTTTGTTTTATTGACATAAACTTGGAAGCAACACATAATTAACAGTGGCACTGTGGAACAGCTGATGACATTTTGTTAATGGGCTATCAGCAAAATAGTATCCAGTAATTTAATTTGTTAATCTTGTGTGGTAACAATTTGATTTATGAGAATAAGAATCCTAACTTTTACAGACGTATGATAATTTTAGTAGACAGTATTAATGACAATATTCCAACCAAATCAAGTATCATTTAATGTGTTTGACCTTATACACCTTTATAAGGCCGTAGTACCCTCCGATCCACAGTACATCTCTGAACATGGCAACGGAGAAAGGGTAAACAAGTCCATCTTTCTTTGTCAGTAGGTAACGCAGAAACTCGCCATCTTGATTAATAATGTGAATGGTGTGATTAGCGCTGTCCGCCACAATCACGTTATTTTCTACGTCACAACATACGCCACTGGGTTTAAAATCCCTTTTTCCGCCTTTCCCCTCGTAAAAGAATCGAACACGTCCATCCAAGTCCAGAACACAGAGCCTTCCAGAATGAGATCCTGTTTGGTCGGCTACGATGATGTCTTTATGACTAGACAGCGCTATTCGGTATGGCTTTGTGAAGAGTGGCGTTTTCCCATCGTTTTCGTACTGATACGTGGCGTTCACTTGACCTGAGAGTGTCATTCTTTGCACTACACGAGTACTAGAACGAGAGCGAGAGTTCGATAGATTGTCCACCAACGAAAGTAAAATTTCCCCAGGGCCAGATTTGCACAGCGATAAAGGAAGTAATGGCTTGGTACTAAAAAGAATATCTACTTTCTCGACCGACACTGTTCTCACGGTTTTGTCCGTGCATGCATATACGTGGTTACCCTCATCCCCTACGAAAAAATCGCGTGAGTACGCCCCTAGCTCCATCATATGTTTTAGTTCCCCGTTAAACGTCACTTCCTTGTTGTGGCGGGAATTGTCGCTGTAGAGCCAAGCATTAGTGGGGGACACTGGGAACAGGGAGGTTATGGCCTCCGAGCCGTTGGTGAAGATTCCAATCTCCTTCACATGGAACTTATTTTCAGGTTCTTCAACTCTATACCTCATGAGCATTTTCTTATCGTACTCACTGGTGTCGATAAATCCAAACATAGATTCCAACTTATCTATCTGTAAGTCACCTTTCTGGAACTTCATCAAGCTTGCTTCATCTGGAGAGTCTAGCTGTTTGGTTTTGCCGAGTAAAGCGTTGTACTTTTGAACCATACTGACTAGTTCGGAGTCGGTAAAATCCCCGGTGTTTTTCTCCACCGAATCTGTGAATTCTTTAAGATCAGATGCATGGGCCTTCAGTTCCAGTATCCTCGTCTTCTGTAATTTGGCGATGTGTCTGCACTTTGACAACAGTTTCTGTGCTACTTGGGTAACGGCCATGATGAGTTTGTGTTCTTGGTCTTTGATGGCCTGGATCCGCCTCGTTGTGGCCTCGTTAATAGAAGAGATGGCGTCTCGGATTTTTGGAAGCTGGGACTCTCTAATAACGCGACACTTGGATTGTAAAACGCTCCTCTGATGCCTGATATATTTGGGCAGAGCCTCGATTTCGTGCTGGTGATGGTCGGTGTTGGAGCATACGAGACATATAGGTTTGATGCAGCTCTTGCACATTAGAATCAGGTCTTCGTCGTGGTGGACGTAACAATTCTTGAGGTGGGTCACTTCCCCGCGGTACGTCCCTCGTGATAAACGACTGGAGGTGGACACAGTTGTCCGGATAGACATTTTACTGGTCGCTCTGTCCATGTTGGTGTAATGTTGGACTATGTCTCCAAGGCCTAGCGTGTGCTCGTGTGGCGCAGTGTGCAGTATTCTGCTTGATTGAATCACTATGTATAATCTGAAGTCCCTTTGTTTAATACGGCTTGATAAGATATCCTATATACAAAGAAGATGACAGAAGGATTTAAATTGAACATGTCTAATCTGTTCAGTGAAAACCAAACTTTGATCTGAAATCGCATTAATCTCATCTAGTCACGGTTTTTCAGTTATCTGATAGAATTTTCTGTACATTTTTGTTCTCGCAACAGATATCTTTCGCCGTTTCCTTTCTCTGTGACATTTTTAGTAGGACATTTGCATACTGTAGACCTCTGTAATTAATACAGATCAAGTTTAATTCATTTCTGCAGTCAAGGTTTTACAGAGCAAAGATAATACACACCAGGGGTCTGTACTAATGAATTAAGCCAATTATAGATTGCGCAATTAGTCGTTCATTATTTTATTTCTTCGTTATGGTTGCTTTTCAATTACAAACAGACTGCACTATTATTTCAAGCTGCCCGAAATTAAGTAATTTAAATTTAAAAAAAAAAATGGCATTACATTAGTAAACCCTGTTCGTAGAACATTTATTTCTCAGCGTCATATTTAATTTTTACATTTTTGATCCGAAATTAAAAATGCTATATTCTTACCATACAGATTTCTGTATATACCAACACATTGTATTCTGTTGTATAAATGGCGAGTCGTCAAACGGAATGGAGAAGGTTGGATTTGCAGAGACAGTCGTGTAAAAAAGCCCCTATTTTCAGAATTGCCTTGGATGTTCTAAATAGTTAGGATAAAATATGTTAAATCATGGGTGGATCTAGACTCTCCCTTTCGGAGACATTTAAAGTTTTTACTTGAATAAGTTTAGTCCCCATGCACGCAAACACAAGGAAACTGAGAATTCCTACGGACCTTGGGTCAAGTTTCGCATGTGGAGTCGCATGCTCTCATCCGTTTCTCTCTTTCTCATAATTTTTAACTAATGCGTTTTCAGTTTTTTAGCCAATATTTTTTAGTTGCGGACGTGCTAAAGAATAATTTGGCTTGGAGACTTTTAATTCTTTAAGTTCCGAGCCTTGAGCAACCCCCCCCCCCCTTTTCCCACAAGAAACTACTGTTTTAACAAGCAGTAAATACATTGACAAATTCATAATAAGCATTTTTTTTTTATTTTTTTATATACACTTATAGTTCAATTCTGATGTAAGACTTGTACAGTACACATTTCTTTTTTCAGTTGACTGCCTGTGAGTGCAGACTCTTTATACTGGAACACAGTATGCTGTAGATGTAAGAATGACATTAATTAATCTCACCTTACTAAAATAATCCTCCTAGGGATTCTGTTCTGCTCAAAAGTTAAGACAGAAATCCAGAGAAAAACTCGGGGATACGACTTCAGCTCTCCAGGTGTTGATTTAGAATGGATGTCAATTTTGGGAGCCATTCCAATCTTTTTTGTAACTTTTCAGATGAAATCCTTCACGATGATTTTTGATTTACCAATCACAGATGTCTTGAATTCTTTCATACCGAGGAGATTTTTGTAAGCTTTGTAATTTTCCGGAGAATGTTAATTATTTGTGAGGATTTATATTTATAAAAAACGGAGCAGATTTGATTTTTATTATTTCTGGAATGGGTTTTGTAATATTTATATCTCCTGACGTCTTTCGACGTTTCCTTTGCAATTTACTTTTTCATAATTACATGTATGATTTTAAAACTTGATTACTATAATTCAATTCAGTTCATTTTATTGAAATTTACCAGCATACAATCATGAATATTAATAACAGAAAACTAAAAACAGATTAGTATATACAAAGTAACAAACAAAATCTACAATATCGCAGAGTATACTAGTACAGGTGGTGTTTCTGATGTCAGTTTCATGTCCAGGCAGCTGTATGTGTTTGTAGGATTGATAATTGATTATCACTTGTATATGTGTTGACATTTACATATCATTCCATCTGTACTGATCATACTTTAAATATTTTGAATGTTAGTGATGACTTTTGTGCGAAAATTGAAATACAAAGTAGTCATTCAAAATTCATTGAAGACGACATTGATTTGAAACCTGATTTTTGTTGATGAATAGATATATAATTGATTGAATTAGTTGATATGTGACTTATTAATAGGGGATACACTATCGAAACATAGGAGGATTATGTGGGATCTTGATTAATTTATTCTCTGGAAAATCAATACCGTGCATATCCATACTGAGACTCTCAACACCAGCATAACATTATAAATGGGATCATAGATGACGTCTAAACCCCCCTAACCAATATATTAGCAGCAATGCACCAAAAATATCACCTGCTAATAGGCGTTGCAGCTCAAGTAATTGGTATACCTTTTAAAATTGTTTCTTATATTAATTAATCTATGCTTTAAGAAATCAGAAATTTCCAATAAATCCGCTCTCTCGATGGGATGTTGGAGCGCTTTGACGTTTTTGCGTGACACTCTATATTATACAATTATAATTGCCCCGTCAGGTCAGGTCATTTCGTGGGCCAGGTCTCCGGTCCTCATGCATGTTGACCTCATAAGGAGTAATTTATTGTATAACTGATGTAGGTGATGTCAGCTATTTTCCTACATGTATTTGCATTCGTTGGTGTTCGAACCGTTACGGAATTGACCAAGTTAAATATGCAGTACGGGTAGACGAAATTTACATTAAAATTTTGTCATACTCATCGCAAATGTTAAAGTCAGCATAAGAAATCTTCTTCAAAGAGAAGATCGATATTTTATTTCACCAATCGGAACATTACTCGGCCTTTTCCGTCAGGTCGAGAAAAAATTCTAAAGCAGAAAAATAACGCCATAAAGATGTTAGACATTAACATTTGTCGTCTTCAACTTCCACACTATGAAATTGACGACTACAGAGGTCAATGCCCTACATTAGCTATTCCAAGGTCAAGAGTCAAGGCTAAGGTCAACCTGACCCCGCAGTATTGAATAATTTTTTATTTATTTTATTTTAAAAGAACATGAACAGATCATACTTTGGGGAAGGGAGGGGCGTCGAAGACAGAACTCTCGGGACCCCTTTCCAAATTGACCATCGCAATTACGGATATATGAACTTGGTCCTTTGAGATTTAGTTTTGAGTCAAAATCATGACCCCCCAATAGGTCAGTATCAACAATAAAATCTTGGAATTCATTTGTTCCCATTGATAGTTCCAAAGTTATGGTCCGAATAAATTTTTCAAAAACTCGCTCGTAACCTTGAGTCTAGATCGTGGCACATCTTTGTAGTCATCGACAATACTAGTAAAACAGTCAATTTTGAAACCCAAATCCAATAAACGCGGTTCGAGAATTTTAACCCGAACATCATTTTACTGTCTACCGTCACGGTAGCTCAGTCGGTAGAGCACTCGCTAGATGTGATCGGAAGGTCGTGGGATCAAACCCCAGCGGCGACTGACCTAAGTCGTTAAAAAATAGGTAACAGCTGTTCCTTAGCCAAGCGCTCGGCATTTTGAATTGAAAGTTGTAGGTCTTTCGGATGAGACGTTAAAAACGGAGGCCTCGTGTGACGACAGGGGTGGCACGATATTTTAACGATCTCTCACTGCTCAATGGCCTTGAGTGCCTGGTTATGGTGATGTCTTTTTATGAGTGAAAGACGTAAAACAACATGCAATCATTTCACTATCTTATTGCCCAATGACCACTCATAGGCAATACATCCTTGTTTAAATCCATTCCAATCAAAGGTTTGAAAGCTATGACCCTGACAGGTGTTTTTTTTTTTTTTGTTTTGTTTTTTTTTTGTTGGAATGATGACAAAACTTCATATCTAACGTCACTTGTCAATCAAATGCACTGTTTACATACTTTAGGGGGAATTACGTTTTGTCGCCTTATGCTCAGTTTAAAATATTCACACATAGAAATATGATCAAATCTGAGACTGTGCTAATTAGTACATACAGTACAGATACGCTGAAAAAATATTTACAGGCAGCGCAGTGGTTCCTATATTTGATATACACAGATTTGATTGTGGTTATTCCAGCGGGCTTTTAACAAAACTTGTTTATAATTTGCATGTCAGCATAATTAACTTGTGTGTTGACATAATTATCTTGCATGTTGATATAATTATCTTGCATGTCAACATAATCATCTTGCATGTTGACATAATTATCTTGCATGTCGACATAATTATCTTGCATGTTGACATAATTTTCTTGCATGTTGACATTATTTATCTTGCACGTAGGGGGCAAAAATATGCCACCTTAGCCGGTTTCTATCAATTTTACCACGATGTTCATTAATCACTATTTGTTCTGGGACGCAATAAGTCTATTCAAAACTTTACTTTTATTACTTATAAAGAGTTTTTTACGTATAAGTAGCAGATAGAATAAAGATTAGAAAAGTTGGTTGCTTACTGGCCGAACAACCTATGTATAAAGCACGAGAGCAATTCATTAATCAAAATGGGCTTTGATTTTCTGCTCTTGATGAGGGTTTTCTGAGGCGAATCATTGTTCGTGCCTTGTTAATGGTTCACGGAGTGGGGTCATGCTACATTGCTAGATCAATCCCACTGACACCTCTCAGGATGGTTTGACGTTATCAGATCTCCCTAATATACACAGCCTAAATATTAAAGGACTGCCAAGATCCCGTAATATAACAACTCACGCACCTGTTTAAAAAATAATCTTTTTGTTTTTTACTCTCTGAGGTGGTATAACTAATGGTCGATCTTACAAAGGTGCGGATCGTGCAGATTTTTTGATAACGAGGGGTGTAAGACGAGTAAGCTTATCGCGCTCATTTATCAAGTATTTTCCCCCTTCATGCTTCCTTTCGGCAATTTGACAAATTCATAAGCAGTGAAAAGGGGAACTGTTTTGTTATATCTCTTGTTTCCTATTTTCCTAGGAAGAAGCCTGGAGATTTACAGAATGCAGACTCGCCCCCGTCGCTTTATTCCTCTAGCGTTACGATGGGGGGCTCGTATATCCCATTAATATGTATAGTATCTGATACATACTATGCAGAACTTCCTTCTTGGAACCAGGAACTATTCTGGATTTGTTCTCTTTTCTTCTGGCTGATTGTGGCACAGGAAATATTCTTTTACCAAAAACCTTCAGATGAATTATTCTATTAACATTGCTAAAAAGCCTGCATTTGAATAAGATTCGACTAGTCTTTCATTCCTATTTTTACTTTGTATATTGTTGCCCTCTAAGAAAATGCCAAACCTGTTAAATGCACTTTCAATTAGCTTAATTAATTTACAGGATTGTTGCTTTAGAATTTCTTTTCACAAGACTAAAAGTAAACGGCTGCGCTTATTGATACTAAAGGTTGGTTGGTTTATTTTTACTTGGTATATTAGATGGGATTCGTTTACAATTATCTCAATTAGAAACAGAGAATCTGGTCTCTTTCTCTTTTCTATTTATTTTCACAATCTTCTTTCAATTTAATTCCAAATATTCGACTTTCAGCAATTTGAATATTTTCAGGGCAGTTCGTATAAACTGGGCGACCACTATGTTCTCAAACTTTATAAAGCTAAAACAATCTTCCTGTTAAACTATACATTTGTGGAAATACCAGTCAAATTAAGCAAAGAAGCATACTTCTCGAGCTCCGAAAAATAGTTCTTAATATTGGTAAACACATACTAAACTATAAAATCAACAAACTTAAAAAAAAAAAAAAAAAAAAAAAAAAACAGAAAGAGAAAAGAAACAATGGTCAGAGATGAAGAGGAAAAAAATTCAAAAATTAACTATTTTGCCCACTTTTCTATGATGTAAAAAGAAGTCTAATCGCCGGTGCAAATATATACCATTCAAACTGTTTTACGATAAAAACGGATTAAATCACGGACAATAAATCTTAACATCGAAAACGGTTTTTTGTGCCTTTTTTGCACCAGACTTGGAACACCAGCGGGTTGTTTTTTCGCGCACTGCAATCTTCAGATTACATATAGTGTCAGGTGATTAAAGAGAGCATGTAGCAAAATCTGTCAATATTTGCTGGCTAGTAATTAACAGTTTACTTTGTGAAGGATATAAGCGTTGAAGCTGGTTAAAGACAGATAAACAAGGTCAAAAATGTCAACTTTTTATTCCTTCTTGACAGTTGAGATTCCCTCCTAGTATCATATATCATAAATTAAAAAAAGTACAACGTGACATGAAATGTATAATGTTAAATGAATGAAATGATATTGAAATACTTTGGTAAATATATTTTGTTATCTTTGGAAAAGAATAAATATGTGTAATATTAAATTGTAAACGTACCGCACTGAAAACCTTTCATGTTTTCAAAAGGGGGCAATCTCCAACAAAAAAAAAAAAAAAAAAAAAAAAAAAACTGGCAACCCCCCCCCCCCAAAAAAAAACGTAAACTGCTTGGGGTTGGGGATTGTACCTTTCTCTAACCTTTTCGTACATTTTTTCTTTTCAAATGCTGGAATTCAGCTTCCAAATGAAAATTTACATATAGTAAAACTGCATAAAAACTATTCTCAGAAAAAGTGGTGAGATTGCCCCCCCCCCCCCTCAATCCCCCGTGCACTACAGGTCTGCTTCGCAATTTTTAATTATTTTACATTCATAGGAAATTTTAATGCCTGTCCATTGACCCTTTATTCGCTATTGCCATTCAAGTTCGAGAAATACGTCTTTGACTCAAAGTCGCACCTGATTTCGTGACATCCGTTTGCGCCATATCTAATATCTCTCTTCCGCTTGAATGAGTTAGCAGGAGAAAAACTACTCACTGTCATCATTCTCTCGAATGTGTATTTCACCTTAAATCGACAAATTAAGGCTTTCAAGGTTTCTCTGAATCTGGCACTTAAAGCAACATATATCCAAAAGTTACAGTGGTAACTCAACAAAAGGACAAAGTTCTGCAGGATGGCAATGGAGTAGTCTGTTTCATTATCAATGATTAAGCGATTCGTCAGGTCCTCGTAAACCTTGATCCCGAACACGACTCCATTAGGGATTTCCACCACTAGAAATATGACCATTATGATAACCACCATTAAAGTGGTCCGCTGTCTGTGCTGGAAGTCTCTTTTTGGCCCCTCGGCTGCCGAGGAGATACAGCGCTGAAGGATCTTACCATGCTTAAGTTTGTAAGCAAGGACAAAAGTCGTGATCAGCATCAGGGTACAGGGTAAAAACTGCACAAATATACCCCGAAATGAGTAGTTAATGATGGAATATTCGTAGAGTCTTTCATAGAAAAAGGGGTCCAATTTAACACCACAAACAAGAGAAGTGGTATTGTTTTCAGTGATTTCAATCTCCGTGTAATTATTCATGAAAAACAAAGGAAGGAAAAACACGGACAAGAGATAAGCTAGGACAGTCATGAATGCGGACTTCTTCATTGTCCATAGTCTCGGTCCCCAGAATGGTTTTACGACAATGATACAACGCTGAACGCCAAGCGTCGTTGTTAGCCATACAGAAGTCGCGTGGAACATCACAGCCAAGTACAAAGCATAGTCGTGAAAAACGCACAGAGGATACTGCACCGGAATCGTGTAGTCACTTTTTATTCCGTAAAAATAAAGATGCCCCACACACCATAAAATAACAGAGAGCGTGTCCGAGCAAGCCAAGCCAGCGAGAAACAGCGTGGTCACTGAACGCATCTTCTTCTTCAAAAACACGCAAATGACGAGCACGTTAGAAACCAACGTTAAAATGGTTATGATTGGGACAAGAATGCCGTACACAGGGAAAGCCAGGTCTTTTGGAAACGGTACGAGTATGTAGGGCTGGTAAAAAGCCACGGGGGTCTCGTTGGAGCCCGAGATACTAAAGGAATCCAAAAACATGCTCTGTAGAACCGTTTGGTTGTTCATGGCGCCTTCGCGCTCACTGTCATCACCAAAAACTTTGTCCACGGAGAAGTTAGTCATTGCAGAGATTCTGAAGAGAGGGAGAGAGAGAAAAAGGAGATGCACATTTTGATATTTTTGGTTAATGGCCCCGGGAGTAACCAGGTGCCGGTACGATCAGATAATTTAAAGATAATGGACGCAGATATGCCATGATGGATAACATTAGTGTCCTTAACACTAACGGGTTTCTTTGGCTAAATATGAAACAAAGAACATTTCTAATTCATTGTTATTCTGAGAGAAAAATCTATCAACAAGTACCTTTTTATTTGTGAAAATACATAAACTAAAATAGATTTCAAAAATTAAATTTTGATACAAAAGATAATTGTAATTTTTTCTGCTCTGTCAAAAAAATAACATGCAACTTACTTTTTATATCCAGAATGAATAAAGATTAAAGTATATTGCTTTTTCGTCCCTCGGAATCTTGTTAAAAATCCATCGATAGAAGAAAAACTTCAAAGAATATGTTAATTCTGTACGGGTTTTAAATCAAGAACAAGAAATTGGAGAACGAGTTTACGCTGAACAAATTCTAATAAATGTCTTCATCATTCAGACATGAATATAAAAAATGTATCCGCCAAGAATGGAACAGTATCACTGTGTTGTTAGAGCTCGGCCTTCGCTGGTCCGCTATAAAGTGTTCAATAACCAATCACCGTCTTTATTTGCCGCTAAATAGCACGAGCTCAGAACCAACGAATCACGGTGTTAGAGAAATACACTCATTTTCCAGATTTCTGAAATAAAATATTTCTCGAAGAAACTTAAATAAAAATTCCTGTCCGCATTCAAATAAAAAATAATTTAAAAGTTTTTCCTGTTTAACTTGCCTAATAGTACATTAAGGTAAATTGAAAAATTACTTAGGTCTAGGAGGGAGTTTTTGATAAATCATCTTTTTTCAGGAATATACTGTGCATGTTAATCCATGTTGGGGGAGAAATGACGATGATTTCCATTGCTTAAGTCTTGTACAAACTTTCTAAACTTGAGGAAAACCATATTATACCAGTTTTCGATCTACTTACTTTGAAATCGTTAATTTGACGGTGGTTCATGCTACAGATTTGTTGACAATAATAGTAAACACTTGTTTATTTCACAGAGAACAGGCTTAGTAATATTAAGGTTGTCAATAAACACTTCATGTCTACCCGGGAGATCCTTACAAGAACAGACATCTTATACTCACGGTGGCAAATAATTCTACCGTAATAATTCTACCGTAAAACAAAGAATAATAAAACCAAAAGGAATTATTAGTTCATTAAACCCAGAAAACAAGTGATGAATGAGTATTTCATTAAAAAAATCCACGGGCCTTGGCAGTCACCTGAGTATCATGAGTTTCCAAACTTTGCCCACTTTGGCCCCACCCCAAAAATACAACTCTGGACTGATGTACAATATTATATATTTATTGACTGGGTTCGAGGGCAACATGCGTTTTGTCGGACCCAAAAACCAAACTGTTTGCCTGAGGCCGTTAGGCCTCAGGCAAACAGTTTGGTTCGAGGTTGACAAACGCATTTCGCCGGAGAACAGTCAATAAATGTTTTGTTATACCTTTTAAGGCTTTTATTTTATATCACATACATGTATCTTGTACTGGTTTCCATAATGTAAATTTCCTTTACCCGCACTGCGATTGAACTCGGTCCCGCCTACAGTGTGACGTAGCGGTCCAATATCTCATCGACAGGTCCAGTATCTCACCCCGCGGTCAAACATCGATTTTCAATGGACCGCTCAGTAAAACACTGGAAATGTCAAACTTTTTAAAGTATAGTTTATATAGGAAACCATTTTTAAGGTATAACAAAGTAATATGATATATGACTATGTCAGAACTGGGCTTTAACCTATTTCAATTTAGTGCAAAAAAATGTTTACAATCATATTCCATTTTTTTATTTACTGTTCTTGCAAAGACGTTCATTTATGACAATATTAACGATCTAAATTAATTTTTGTTAGAATTGAAATTAGAGTGCATTACCGCTGTACATAATAGGATATACATTTATGTATTCAATGTATTCTATATGTATACGTCATCGCCATCATGCCTCTTCTGTTAATCAGTACCTCATGCATGTACATGTATAGATACAGCTTCCAAAAAAAACTGTTTCCTAGCTCTCCGCAGTTTTTTTTTAAATACAAAATTTGTAACCATCGATGATCAAACCTGCATTGCCGCAATTTGTAACAAACTTCTTATTTTGTCATATATCGTTCAACTGACTCTATATGGTTGTAGTTCGACTACATGCTAAATGAAATATATATATTGACTATAGAACTCTTTTTTTCTGGAATATAAAGACAAATAGTTTATCTTCTATCTATGTCTCTGCCTTAATCTCTCTTTGACTTAATTTAAGCCTTGCATTACAACTGAAGTAAACTTTTTAGATATATTATTTCCAACTTATGAGTACTTCTTAAACCACGTGACTTGGTGCACGTATTGTCCGTCCAATCATATATCTGATGGAGAAATGTTTATGCTCATACATGGCACAAAGGTTAAAGTTTAAGATCAGCTTGATGTCAAGACTCTGATTTAAGCTCTCCTAGTAAGGTCAAGGTCACACTTAGAAGACATTTAAAATCGTGTCCGCCCTTTTTCTTTATTTTTCTTGGTTTTTTGAATCAGATACAGTACAAGATTTTTTTTCTTGAAAAGTTATTTGACTGGAGGACGTTTAAGGACTCGATCTTTATTTGACTGGAGGACGTTTAAGGACTCGATCTTTATTTGACTGGAGGACGTTTAAGGACTCGATCTGAATCCAAGTCAATTTAAAGTTACACAAGTTTACATAGCAAAGGTTTGTGATTTCTAAGTTCCTGCATGCAGTTCATTAAACGTGAAATATTTTGAGTATTTGTACAAGCACAGATTGGATTAGTTTTAGTTTCCATAATTTTGTTGCCATCATGACTGGCCAACACTGTTTTTCGCAATCGTCTTTTTCGCTTCTTCGTTCGTTCTTTATACCGATAACCGAACAAACATGTAATCCCAATAACCATTATATGTGTGGTATGACATAAGTTTAATATCTAATTTCCAAGGGGAAAATGATGCACACAAAGGGTTTTTTTTTGGTAGGTTCGTGCACTATGCTGTCATATTTACATTAATTAGCTGCGCTGCAGAATAAATATTAGGGGAAGATTAGATTCTAAAAACAAATTATGAAGATGCACACGATTAATCTGTGTATTTTTAAAGAAACACTACCGATTGATTTTTTTGAATTTCTTTTTCTTATCTACTTAAAAGAAAAATAATTTGACTTTATTGTGTTATACCACACGAGCGTCATATTACGCACCAAGCTTTCAGACGAATTTGCTGTAGCGCCACACAGACCCTTGGTCTGATATCGTCATTGAGAGAAAGGCAAAATGTTATTACTTATTTCATTAGCAATAAATACAGACTCTAAATTGATTTGAACAATCTATTCTACAATTATTCCTCTAGATATTCTTTTGATGTAGCCAGAAAATGAAGGACCTCGTTTAAAGGGATGTTTATCAGGTTGAAAAATGTTTTTGTCTTCTTGGGGAGGAAAGGGGGGGGGTAACTTTTTATTGTTACAAATATACAAAGTGACAATAAACATTTTACATAAATGAATTTCGATATCAGTAGATTTTAAACACAGTATACATGACGCGAACACGTGGTCATTCGTCATTTCCGCGACTATACTTTACAATGCTTTCCGCGATTTTTTTTTTTTTTTTTACTATAAGTTGTGTGTTTTCTCTTTTATTTGATACCTCCTTTCCGCGATTTTTTTTTCAATCGCCACGGGTAGTGCTAAGCATCAAACGGTTGCCGATATTACGTATAATATGTAGCGTATACATGTACAGAAAAGAATATTTTAAATAATAGCGATGTTTCTTACCGATGCAGCGTTGGAAAAGTTTACAAGGATACAAATACACTCAACTGATTCAAAAGGAGTTGCTGTGGTAAGAAATTTACCTGGCTAACGAAAGAGGTACATGTTAAATAAGTCGCGGAAAAGCAAAAAATATAATCGCGGAAAAGTAGTGTGATTTGTCGCGGAAAAGCAGGATTTCTTTTCGCGGGAAAAATGTCGAATTGCTGAAAAGTGAAACTGAGGGTCATTCACCAAGTTTTGCCCATTCGTCAGCAGGTATCACATTTCGTGATTCGAGGTTATTCACGAACTCCTCGATCATGTCGTGTATTGTTTGAATCTCGATTTAATACATACATGTATGTCGGAATTAATGAGAAATTTCTCAAGAAGATTATTTCCTTCACCTAAATCTAAAATATTTTTAACTTTTAAAAGTCAACTTGTCAAAGTACGTAAACTTACGGACCACGTCTTTTTATAGTTTACTATATTTTGATTTTAACTATTCAGTTATATATACAAGTATATATAACGGTGGGTTTTTTTTCAACGAAATAAACTGTGATGAAAAATGAATATATGTGTTTATATCACATGGATTCTAGTATATAATATACTTAAAGAGACCATACTTGTAAAAAAAAAAATTAGCGTGCTTTGAATTTGCTTTGAATTTAAACAAACTTTTAAATAATGCTGTATGTTTGAACAAGAGAAAAGACGTGGGCAATGCTAGTATTCAATATATACAGAACAGATTTAACATAAATGGTTTGTTATGGAGGGGAGATTATTATATATGACTAGGAATGTGACAGCATAGTTCCGTTAGATGTTGGAAACCTTGGCCCTGAATTATCTTTAAATATTGTTTATGACTTAAAAATACGTCCGCGACAAATTCTATTCGAAGAAAATTCTTGAATAATGAAAGCCATGCTGTGATTCTACGCAATAGGGTCATAACTCTACGACTATCCACATGATTAAATTAATGTGCGAAACTAGACGAACTCACAAAGCTACCGCCTGATAAAAGGATTACATAGCGCTCAAATCTGGTGGTGTGAAATTTTGATGAACAGAACTACAGTAAAACGTGATTACAGCGAAGTCAGAACAGAACTAATGACTTCCTTATAAGATTAATTCTGTTACTTGCACTAGATTCCAATACATTTATATTTTGAAAGGGAATCAATATTACTTCCTTACAGCAGGTATTCATTAAATCAGAGATTCGCAATAACAGGACTTTCCTGTATCTCAAAATTGTAATTTCTGGGTTTGTTTTTTTGTTGTTGTTGTGGGTTTTTTTAACCTGTCTGGTGCGTCTTTAACACAGAGGCGATAATCCTATGTCGCTACCAAGTCCCCTTAAAAGTCGTCGAAATATTTTATCCCACAATAACGAATTACACTTGCACAGAATCATATCTACAAGGACGACATTGGAATCGTGTGGCTTGTGTCAAGTTTTGCAGGTCTGTGATTTATCGAGGATTGCTAAGTTTTAATTAAAAGGAAGAGTTTATGTGTGGAACACAGTGTGTTGCGAATGACCGCTCGGCTATATCAAATTAAGACGTCATTACATCGTCTGCTGCACTTTACTAATCTTCTGCTTATTAAATGACATCGTGTCGTAGACCCGATCAATTGTATAATTAGAGTGACTTATAAGAAGTTATTGCCCGCATAAGTGGGTTTTGTTTTCTTAG